ACCCTTAACAAACTGAGAAACTTTTGTGCTGGGAGGGTCCCCGTGTTGCTCCATCCCTCCTTATATAGGGCGTTAAAGCTAACTTACCCCACGGACGTCGGCGGGATTGTCCTAGACGGTCGTATGATGACCGAATTAGGAACCGGAAATCTGGGACAGGCCGTCAGGGTCCTTACCAACGCAGATTTCCGCCCGGTATGTGAATAGGCTTTTTGCATGTTTTCTTTTCTTTCTTTTTTGCAGGCCTAAACCATGTCTGTCAAGATAGCGACGCTGAATGTGAATGGCTTGAGGGATCAGGGTAAGGCGGCCCGCCTGCTCCGGGATCTCCTGTCGTTCGGCGTGGATGTTGCCGCGATCGAAGAGACCCACTTTGTTTGCAGTTCCGATGCGTGTGTGTTGTCTAACGACTTCGTCGTCTATTCAGCATATGGGGAGCGAACTGCTAGAGGAGTGTCTTTGCTGGTGAAGCGAACTCTAGATGCGGAGGTGGACCTTGTGCATACCGATGCCGAGGGACGGTTGATCGTGGCCGATATTGCCGTGAAATGTGGTTTGTTTCGGGTCGTTGCGGTTTATGCGCCCAACGACCAGGAGGAGCGGGTTTCGTTTTTTCGGCGGTTGGGGCCTTTCCTGGTGGATTCCAAGCGCTTAGTTCTAATGGGGGACTGGAATGCCGTCCTGGACCCCAAGATAGATCGGGGGCGGGTGCTAGCGGGAGAAGGGGCGATCGTAGCCTGGTCGATCTGATCAAAGATTTCGGTCTCGTTGATAGATACCGGGTCGATCACCCCGGGGGGGAATATGTGGACGTGGGCTCTCAGCTGGCCTTGTGACAAGGTAGTTAGCTACCTTGACAGAATGTTAGTGAGAAGGGCCGACATAGATCTGTTAGATTGTCCCACGTTCCACTGAGTAGGCTATACGGACCACAAACTCGTTTGTGCCCGTCTGGCGTTAGAACATAGGCCTAGAATGGCTGGCTACTGGAAGTTCAATCTGTCTTTACTGGACAGGCAGGACTTCCGGGAGCAGCTGACTAACTTAGTGCAGCGGGAGCTAGTGGGGGCGGTTATTGGGAATAGGTGGTGGGACAGACTTAAATGTAGAATTAGGTCCTTCACCACTGATTTCAGCAAATGGCTCGCCCTAGATAGAGCTGATAAGGTGAGGACGCTTAAAGCTAGTCATGCCCGGGCGGTGGCTGGGGGGGATTCCCTAGAGATAGCCGTAGCTAAGGAGGCTCTGCAGCGTTTGAATAGCGAGCGCTACATGAGCCAGGTAATTAGGCATAGGTTAAGCAAGATGTCTTCCGAAGCCATGAATTTGGGCGCAGAGCTGCGCAGGGCAGAGGTCCGTCGAGGTGGCGATCGTTATATTCGTGAAGTCAAAACCCCGGAAGGGCGCACCCTTCGGGCCACTGACGACATGTGCGAGGCGTTTCGGGGGCATTTCGAGAGCCGTTTTACCAGGGAGCCTGGTCTTCATGAGGACGAGTTTCGCAGCTATTTGGCTGACTTTCCTCGGCTTTCGCCGACTGAAGCGGCTAGCTGCGAGGGAGAGGTTACCGAGGGCGAGGTCTATGTGGCTTTGAAGAAGGTCGGCAGAGGCAAGTCGCCCGGTCTGGATGGTCTGCCCTATGAAGTGTACTTTGAGGCTGTCGCACATCTTTGTCCCGATTTTGACGGTTGTCTTCAACAACTGGTTCCGGCAGGGGTCCCTCCCCGACCGGTTCTCCAGGGTGTGATCACACTGTTGAAAAAGGGCAAAGATGTCGGGGAAACTAGACGACTATAGGCCCATAACTCTGCTAAACACAGAGTTAAAGATTATGGCCAAGATCCTGCAGGAGCGCTTGCAGTCAGTTGCCGAGTCTCTGTTGTGTCCCAAGCAGACCTGTTCTGTGAGGGGTCGAACAATTCAGAGCAACCTGCATTTGATCCGCACGATCATAGAGGGTGTAAAAGACGACGAGTGTGCCGCGCTGATCAATTTGGATCAGTCCAAGGCATTTGATAGAGTTGACCATCGCTACTGTCCTGCAGGCCGCCGGATTCGCACCCGACTTCTGCCGCTGGATTAGCCTCCTGTATCGCTCCCCCAGTGCTGTGGTACAGGTGAACGGAAAGCTGTCAGGCGCTTTTGCGCTGTCTAGGTCGGTTCGTCAGGGTTGCCCGCTGTCGCCCCTACTTTACGCTTTGGCGTTGGAGCCTCTCCTTCGCCGGCTGAGGAACAGGGCGTGCAGGCCGGCCCTATGCGGAATCGCCGTTCCTGGCGGGGCTCGAGCCAGGGTTTCCGCGTACGCTGATGACGTAACTGCTTTCGTGTCGTCCCGCAGAGGCATCAGGGCAGTACAGAAGGCGCTTGATCGGTACGAAAAGGTGACAGGGGCCAAGATTAACCGCGACAAGTCGTCCGGCTTGCGGCTAGGCGCCTGGAAGGGGTCGATCTTCCAGGGCCCTTCGGTTGGACGGACGGTCCTGTCCGCATTCTCGGAGTGTGGTTTGGACCCAACCTCCAGCTCCTGGAGAAGAATTGGTCCGAAGTACGAGCAAAGGTCTACGCCGCCGGTCAGACTTGGCGTCGACTGAGGTTGTCCGTGAAGGGCAGGGCGGAGGTGTGTGCTACATACATTTTCCCTCTTGTCCTTTATCGATTGTCCATACTTCCTCTCTGTGACGACCACAGGAAACCGCTCGAGCGCTCGCTAACCTCCATTCTATGGAGGAGACGTGGGAATCGGGTCGACAGAGAAGTCTGTGCACAACGTCCGTGTCATGGGGGGCTGGGAATGCCACACTTGCTGAGCCACAAACGTGCCTCGAGGTTGGCTTTCCTACGCCGTGCTTTGACAGGTGGAGATCCGATTATTGAGGGGATTGTGAGGGCCGCCTTCCCTCGCCTTACCATCAGTCCCCCAAGCTCGCGGGTGGATCGCCGTCGTAAACCCCGGGTTCAATCGGTTTTCTTTAGCGAGTGTCGGTCGGCCTTGTTGGCTGTCCCTTGGTCCGGTGACCTTTCTCGGCCTAGGAAGGACTTCTATCGTTTGCTAGTGGAGGGGGTCGCAAAGGATCCCCTACGTGAGGATCTCGACATGTCGGATGATGAGTTTCGCTCTCACTGGTCTTGGGCGCCAGCGGCGGATTACCTCAGTAACCCTGAGTTTTTGCTTACCTGGCGACTGGCTCGGAATCGGCTGTCTCTCAACGACAAGGCCTTCATATGGGGCTTGGCGGACTTGCCAGACTGCGATCGGTGTGGCCTTGGTCTAGAAGAAACGGCTTTGCACACCTTCTTCCATTGCCCCCGGGTCCGCCCCTTATGGGACCATGTCGGCGAGCTGACGGCTCGTCTCACTCCCGAAAAGCTTGTGCCCATGGATCGCGCATACGCATGTGACAATGTGTCGCCCCCGTATTCCGGGGTGAAACGGATGGTGTTTCTCATGCTGCTAGCCACGGCCCGAATGGTGATATGGACGACGCGAGAGGAGGAAGTCTTGCGGGATAACCGTCTTTCTGATCCGATTCTTTGAGCATCAGCTCAAGACGAAGATTAGAACTGATAGAAAACGCTTGCATTCGACAGTCTTCAGCGAAAGGTGGGTGACTGAGGCGAGCTTGGTTTGTGTGAACGGGGCTTGCCTTGATTTTCTCTTTTAGGTCAAGCCTACGTTACATCGGGGTGGCTTCCTGTGGTGCCCTCCCCTTGGTTAGGTTAGACAAGCCTTGGTGTACCTAGTTAATGCGAGTAAGTGTTGATCCCGGCCACATCTTTAGTTATGATCCAGCCTGAGATTCCCAACCTCCCCAGTTTGTTTTTTGACCCCCCACTTTTTATCTCGACTGGGTCAGCTTTATACTTCCCCATGCCCGTATGATTTTTTTTATCACCTTTCCCACTCCCTTAGCGAGAGAGCTGCTTGATTTTGTTCCAATGGGCAGAATACAGTGGTCTCCCTGCATTTTGAGGGTTGGACGGACCCTACTAACATCAGTTAACGTTTTATTTTCATTTATGTTAATATTTTAGTTTGTTATTGGGTTCACATCCCACCCCCCATCTCATTTTTCATCTTAGAATTTTTTGTACATATGTGTTAGGATCATTATGACATGGGGCGCGTTTTGTAGATCTCCCTAGAGTGGATGTGGTATTATGGTGCAAGGAGGATTGATTGGTGACGGACGAGTTCTTATGGTGAATGAGTAAATTGTAATGTCTGAATGGGTCGTGAATCAAATTAGCTAGGTATAAGATAGTTAGTGAAGACCAGCCTTACCCCCTCCCCCTTTTCGGCCTTGTGCCACAATTTTGTATTTTTTACAAAATAAATCTCGCCTCCCTGATTCGCGACTTTGACGCGCCCAGTCAAGTCGACCAAGCCCAGCAGCTGACGGGACCCAGCAGCAGTAGCAGCAGTTGTTCAAACAGTCCTTTTCAGGGCTAACTTCCGAAAGTCATTCGATCACCACTCTTCGAGGCTCCACTCACTTCACTCTTCGCTACTGCCTTCCCTCTGACACCAGCTCACTCCTGCAGTTTCCAGCACTCCTGCAGGTTCCAGCTCACTCCTGCAGCTTCCAGCACTCCTGCAGCTTCCAGCAGTCTCCAGCTTACTCCTACCGCTTCCAGCTCACTCCTGCAGTTTCCAGCTCACCCCAACAGCTTCCAGCGGCCTCCAGCTCACCCCTGCGGCGCTCTACTGACGTCCTGCTACCTATTCCAGCACCCGCTGACGACCTAATCCAGTGCCCACTGACGTCCAGCACCCGTTATCGTCCGGACACCGTTCCCGAACAAACGACCTCTGTCGTCTTACCATCCACCGTTCGCAAATAAAGACACGATTTCCATCGTCTACAACGGACCATCTGCGTTTGTCATCCTTCTTTGCTATTGCCATCTCCTTGCCTTTGTGTCCCCTATTTTAGTTGTACGGTTGATTGGCACTCACACCTCTCGGCCCGTTGCAACAAGTGGTGACCCCGAGGTGATTTATGGACACAGGCAAACGGCTAGCAGAGACGATGGCGGAACACACCGAAACAGAAATCAACACATCCGCCGCCCTGATACAACTACCGCCATACAACCCGATCAACACCAGGAGTTGGTTTATTCAACTTGAGGCGATATTTTCAGCCCAAAAGGTTACACGACAGGACACTAAATACGCCTCCGTGGTACAAGCCTTACCAGCATCAATCGTTGAAGAAGTGGAAGACATCCTTCTCAATACTCCAGACCAACTCCCATACACCTGCCTCAAAGAAGCCATCCTCAAACGAACTGGACATTCGGACGAAGACTTCATCAGAGACTTATTCTCTAATGTGTCTCTCGGTGATAGGACACCATCCCAGCTCCTCCGCCTGATGAAGAGCCGCCTCGGGAACAACACCATGGCAGAACCCATCCTCCGAGGGCTATGGATGGATCGGTTACCACCGAATATAACACAAGTTCTAGCCCTGGTACCAGAAGAAACGCCCCTTGACGTTGTGGCCGACTCAACCGACAAAATATACTCCCAGGCTCACCAAAGCGTTCACCATGTTGAAAGCCAAGGAAACCACACACAACGCCCCGAAGAGGAGATGACCCAGCTACGCGCAGAGTTGATAGACCTGAAACTCTCCCTATGCTGGAGGCAGCGAAGCCCAGCACCACACACGCGAAATTGAAGCCGTACCCGCAGCTCAAGTCCAGGACGGAGAAACAGTGTGGACGAATGTTGGTACCACCAAACCTTCGGTGACCGAGCCCGCAAGTGCCACCCTTCCTGCAGACGCAATAAGGCCCAGGGAAACGAACAGACAGACAGGGATCGTCGTCGCTGCCTGTCGGTACTCGCTCACACAGTCGTCTCTTCTACGTGTGGGACCGTAACAATGGCCTCAAATTCCTAGTTGACACTGGCGCAACCATCAGCGTAATACCACCCACCAACAAATCCGCCTTGAAACCCACCCCATTCCAACTTCGAGCGGCAAACGGCTCCACCATAAAAACCTATGGGAACAAGGTACTTACCTTGAACATCAACCTCAGGCGCGACTTCAAGTGGTCATTCACCATAGCTGACGTCAGGATACCCTTGCTCGGTGCCGACTTCTTGGCACATTACAACCTGGCTGTCCATATGAAGACAAGGACCCTGTCCGACAACATGACAACCATCAAGATCACAGAGATCCCTTCGAGTTTCAACACAACTAGGATCAGCGTGGCAACACAGCATGACCCCCACTACGTAGAAATCCTGCGCCGGTACAAGCACCTCACGCAACCCATCAAACCAACTGATGCAGGCGACCATCAGACCCAACACCATATAAAGACCACTGGACAACCAGCATATTCACGGCCACGACTCCCTCCACACAAATTAGAATATGCCAAGAAAGCGTTTGAGGAGTTGCTGGCCGACAATATCATCCGACCCTCAGACAGCCCATATGCTTCACCACTGCATCTGGTACCCAAATCCGACGGGGATTTCAGGATCTGCGTGGATTACCGGAAACTCAATGCATCCACAGTACCCGACCGGTATCCTGTTCCGCACATCCACGACTTTGCCTCAGGTTTACAGGGGCCCGCATTTTCTCAAAAATTGACCTGACCAAAGCCTACTACCAAGTTCCAGTCACTCCGGAGGACATCCCAAGGACAGCAGTCACAACCCCTTTTGGACTGTTTGAATTCTAAAAAATGCTCTTCGGACTGCGCAACGCAGCCCAGACGTTCCAGAGGCTGATGGACGAAGTTCTGCGTGGACTACCATACGTCTACGCATACATTGATGACATCCTAGTGGCTAGCAGAGACGCTGATTTCCACAAACAACACCTGGAGGAAGTGTTCCGCCGTCTAACACATTACGGCCTCCGAATCAACCCAGACAAGTGCGAATACGGTGCACAACACAGACTTCCTCGGACACCACACAGACGCTCAGGGAATCACTCCACTTCCCGATAAGATAAAAGCCATACAGGATTTCCCGATGCCCACATCGATAAAACAACTGCGACGCTTCTTGGGGATGGTAAATTTTTACCGCAGGTTTATCCCCGGATGCTCAAAACTCCTCACCCCCCTGACAAATCTTCTCCAGAGAAAAAACAAAGCCATCACCCTGGAGGGCGACCAGGAAAAATCATTCCAAGCAGCAAAAAACTTTTTAGCTAACTTTACGAAGTTAGCACATCTTAACGAAGACACCCGGACTCAGATATATCTAACAACAGATGCCTCAGACACTGGAGTTGGAGCTGTGGTAGAACAGGAGGTTGACGACCAACGCAAACCCATCGCATTCTTCTCGGCTAAATTATCACCAGCCCAGTCCAGATACAGCACCTTCTCGAAAGAACTTTTGGCTATATACCTCGCCATCAAACACTTCCGACATCTACTGGAAGGCCGGAATTTCACCGTTTTGACCGACCACAAACCCTTGACAACTTCCCTGTCGAACAACTCGGACAAATATACGGCTCGCGAGATCAGACATCTAGACTATATCTCACAGTTCACGTCTGATATTCGTTATGTCAAAGGAAAAGACAACTCTGTCGCCGATGCCCTATCCAGATTTGATGTCAACACAGTGCAAGACAGCCCACTCAGCCAGGACCTGATAGCAGAGGCCCAGGAATCCGACGCAACCCTCCCTGAAGTCCTAGCCAACACATCCCTGCAACTGAAAGAATTTCCGGCACCTTTCAGCAACAAAATATTGTACTGTGATACAAAACTGGATCACCCCAGACCCTACATACCTCCGGCACTCAGAAGGCAAGTTTTCAACCACCTCCATGGATTGTCACATCCCAGCAAGCGCACTACGGTCAAACTCATTGCTGATCATTTTGCGTGGCCCAACATGAATACTGACATCCGTAATTGGGTATCAACGTGCCTTAAGTGCCAGAAATGCAAGGTACACCGGCACACAAAATCCCCGCCAGGCACATTCAGCAACCCTGACGCACGTTTCAGCCACATCCACATCGACATAGTGGGACCCCTCCCAATGTGCCAGAATTATCAGTACCTCCTCACAGTGGTTGACCGTTTCTCCAGGTGGCCAGTAGCAGTACCCATCAGAGATACCTCGGCTAGCACGGTAGCAAAGACCATCCTTCAGGAGTGGATCGCAATTTTTGGCGTACCCAGCATCATCACCACAGACCGCGGCGCGCAGTTTCAGTCCTCACTGTTTCAGAAATTCACCCAACTGCTCAGCGTCAAACACATCAAGATCACCGCCTACCATCCCTGTGCCAACGGCCTTGTGGGAAGGTTCAACCGAACACTAAAGGCCTCACTAACTACAAAACATCCCATCAGCAACTGGGTAGACGAGCTACCCCTAATCCTTTTGTCAATCCGCAACACACTCAAAGAAGACTTAGAATGCACTCCAGCCGAAATAGTCTTCGGCACAGCACTCTCTTTACCCGGCCAATATTTTGACGACACCATACCCAACCTAACCACTGCAAGTCCTTTCACTCAGGAACTTCGCCATAAAATGGCCCAACTGAAGTATACACCACCCAGGCAATCATCACCAACTATCCACGTTCCACAACAGCTTCAGGACTGCGAGTTCATTTTTGTCTGAAATGACGCGGTAAAGAAGCCACTAACACCAACATACCAGGGTCTATTCAAAGTCTTAAAACGCTCTGAGAAGCATCTCACCATTGATCGAGGAAGCCGGACGGACACCATCTCCATTGACAGAGTCAAACCAGCTTTTCTGGAAAAATCTCCACGGGAAACAGAACCCGTATCAACACACCCAGAACCCTCACCGGCCTCAACAACCACGCAATCGCAACCGTCACAACCGAGGTCAGAGCCAATCCCAGAATCACCCACCACTCCACCTAGGCAGACCTGTCTTGGAAGGAAAGTCACCTTCCCTAAGAAGTACAAGACATATATTTTCTTCTAATTGATAATGATCAACTATCCTGGGAGAGGGCCTTGTCGCAGTGTGCCCAAACACCACTCCAACCTTTTCTTAAACAACCCCGGATATGCTGTCCGGTAGAGAAAGGTCACGGCCCTTGTGTGCTAAAAATAGCAACGACATCCTTTCAAACTGTCAGAAACACACAAAACTCAATTTTCGCCACTAAACAAAAATAAAAGACCTTCAATTTCGAACCGAAATTAATTTAAATACAGTCAACAAACACCGAACACACTTTTGACTGTAATTAATATGGCCTGAAATTAATTATATTCATTTACTTGTTTAGCGTCACCGTTTCTCTTGTATGAACTGTCATATCTAGATGCTTGAGACTTCGAAGCGGTTTTTAGCCGGCCAGGGAGCAGCCCGGCCTTTGGGCTGGGTTGCGATCATGGCAAAGTCTAGTTTGGACCATATCAGGACCTGCTAAGACAAGCCAAGACCAGAACTTGACTAAGCTTTGACCAGCTTGGACATGTTATGACCAAAACATTGACTAAGCCTTGACCAGCTTGGACATGTTATGACCAATCTTTGACCAGTGACCCTATGCGGAAACGCTTGTGTTTTCCCACGAAAAACGACCTTGTGTCACGTCTTGACCCTGTGGGAGCCAAGTAATCCCACGAAAAACGACCTTGTGTCACATCTTGACCTCGTGGGAGTCAAGTAAATACCGCCGGCCAGGGAGCAGCCCGGCCTTTGGGCTGGGTTGCGACCATGGCAAAGTCTAGTTTGGACCATATCAGGACCTGCTAAGACAAGCCAAGACCAGAACTTGACTAAGCTTTGACCAGCTTGGACATGTTATGACCAAAACATTGACTAAGCCTTGACCAGCTTGGACATGTTATGACCAATCTTTGACCAGTGACCCTATGCGGAAACGCTTGTGTTTTCCACAAAAACGACCTTGTGTCACGTCTTATGTGGAGTCAAGTAATCCCACGAAAAACGACCTTGTGTCACATCCTGACCTCGTGGGAGTCAAGTAAATACCGCCGGCCAGGGAGCAGGAAGCCTCCCTGATTCGCGACTTTAACGCGCCCAGTCAAGTCGACCAAGCCCAGCAGCTGACGGGACTCAGCAGCAGTTGTTCAAACAGTCCTTTTCAGGGCTAACTTCCGAAAGTCATTCGATCACCACTCTTCGAGGCTCCACTCACTTCACTCTTGCTACTGCCTTCCCTCTGCCAGCTCACGCCAGCTTCACTCCTGCAGCTTCTAGCTCCTCCTGCAGCTTCCAGCACTCCTGCAGCATTCAGCTCACTCCTGCAGCTTCCAGCACTCCTGCAGCTTCCAGCTGTCTCCAGCTCACTCCTACCGCTTCCAGCTCACCTCAAGAGCTTCCAGCTCACCCCTGCGGCACTCTACTGACGTCCTGCTACCTATTCCAGCACCCGCTGACGACCTAATCCAGTGCCCACTGACGTCCAGCACCCGTTATTGTCCGGACACCGTTCCCGAACAAACGACCTCTGTCGTCTTACCATCCATCGTTCGCAAATAAAGACACGATTTCCATCGTCTACAACAGACCATCTGCGTTTGTCATCCTTCTTTGCTATTGCCATCTCCTTGCCTTTGTATCCCCTATTTTAGTTGTACGGTCGATTGGCACTCACACCTCTCGGCCCGCTGCAACAGATACATAGATATTTAATAACCCCTTTGAAATAATTTCACTTGACATTTAAAATCTCTACGATACTTCAGAACCTGCCTTTATGTGTAGAATGTTATCTAATAGGCTGTCTGTTTAAAAAAAAGTCAGCGTATTGCTTTTTTGATGATCTGACCACATTAGGATAGGAGTAGAAAAGATATAATTAAATATAGGCAACTCCATAAAAACAAAATAATAATTTCACTTGACATTTAAAATCTCTACGATACTTCAGTACCCGCTTTTATGTGTAGAACGTTATCTAATAGAATACCCTGTTTGTTTAAAATAGTCAGTACATTGCTTTCTTAATGATCTGGTCACCTTGGGACAGGGATAGAAAAGATGTAATTGAATATAGGCAACTCCATGAAAACAAAAAATGATATCTCAACCTTAAAAATCACTTTAGTTTTAATTCAAAGCTAACTGAGTAAATTTAATATTACCAATAAACAAAATACTTTGGTATATTTCAAACCAAATTTACACTGACTGAATTTTTTTTCCCTCCTTACCAGTAAAATCTATAAATTCATCCATATTGGCAGACTTGTTAACACAACATAATTCATTTCATTAAAAATTCTTTCAAAAATAAAATATATTTTCTGAAATGATTTTGATGAGAATTAGGCTGATTTAAAGTTAATTTAATCTGAATTGAAGCAAATATTATTTACTTTTAGTTTAAAATATTGCAGAAAAGTATCTTCTTTTTTAATATGGATGGTGGGGAGTCTGTCACATTGAATAATTTATTGAGGGAATAATGTTTGTGAAATTTAAGTAAGATGGAGAGAAATGAAAACGATTACATGAACACTTTTTTCATATAATTTTTTAACTCTCAGTAATCTTCAAAATTTAAGGAAATATGTTAAGCATTCTTTTGAAGCATTTTATTGAATTTTAGCTACTTAGGCTGTCTTATGAAGATGCTTGTTGAGAAACATTTAGAAAATTACATATCAATTTTAAATTTATCATAGGTATCTTTCATTTTCTGATAATGTTGTGTATGGACATCCATATTTACAAACATTGACCCATTTATACAAACATAAAAAAAAATTGGAATTCTTTTAAAACTTCTTTCTGTTACCAACATACTGACTGGAATTCATTTTGTGACCTATTAGAACCTATCTTATATATTTATAAGTCAATCATTCAGCTGTTCTTTGAATATTGCTGTCACATCTGGTCTGGTGCTCCTGCTATATATTTAGAGATTCTTGATAAAATCCAAAAAACAATCTGCAATGTTATTAGTCCTGGCCCGGCATCTCAGCTTCAGTCACTTACCCACTGCCATAACCTAGCTTCCCAGTGCCTTTCTTATAAATACTTTCAAGGTAATTGTTATGATGAACCTTCCTCTATGGTATCTAGACATTATAAATTTAAGCACATTACTAGATTGGCAGCAAGGTCTTGTCATTTTACACTTGAAATGTTTTGGTGTAACCATAAATTCTACGCTGACAGTTTCTTCTATCGCACACCTCACATGTGGAACTATCTTCCAGCTTTTTCTTGCTTCTTAGTTAACATTAATCTTCAAAAATTTAAATGTAATGCCAATCAATATTTTGTCTTCTTACTTCTTGTTCTTCTATTTTTCTCTCTCCTTAATAATGTTTTATTTTTTCTCATATTGTCTAACACTCAGTAATACATTGCGTCTTAGTGGATTTATTGCCTTGCTCAGAATGAAATAATTAAAAAAAAAAGATACTGTGGGTTGTTGGTTTGTAATAAGCTTCTTCATTTAAGATTAATAAATTTGAATTTAATAAGAATATCACTTGGCTGATACAAATTAATAAATAATTTTAAAGATTTAAAAGTTTATAAATTATTCTAGTTAAAATTTTTTAAAATTGCAAACAATTCTTGTAAAAACTTTTTTTATTAAGACATGTGTTAATAGTGTATTTTATACATGAAAGCAATTAAAAGCTTTCCTAATTAAATAAGGTTTAGTTTTATTGTATTTTTTATTTTATAATTGAGGGCAGATTTTCTGTAATTGGGGCTCCTGTTTGACCAAAAAAGTTAACAATTCAATTTCTCCAAGGACTGATAATACAAAAATGTAGGTACCTAAATAAAATGTCGGTACCTCAAAAAAAAAAAAAAAAAAAAAAAGAGAAAAAAGCAACATCTAAGGCTTAAAATGCATTTTTAAAAATGAAAAATCTTTCTTGAAGCTTTTATTTTAAATTGAAATTCTAAGTTAATAGATTCAATTTAATATTTCCAATATACTTTGCTGCATTTTAAACCAAATTTAATTGAGTGAAATTAATTTTTTTTCTATAAATGAATAATAACTGAAAATTTCATTTAAATTAGAATATTCCCTGATTATTAGTAAAGTTTTAAACACTGAAGGTAATATTTTTCATTTTTTTTTAGCTTTCATTATCAAGTGTATATGCATTTTGTTGATACATAGATGGAATATCTTCATATATGAGTGAAACATCAAATAATGTAGTGAAAGATCACATTTGGATGAATCTGCTAAGGACATGTGAAGTATACAAAAATTTTGGTGGGGGATGTTTGAATACAAAATATTAACTTGTCATACTTACAGGTTTTTCCATCATTCTCTGGAATACTACCAAAGAAGACAAAATTGCATGGTAATTTATGTCCTTTAGTCATAACAATTTGTGGAAAAAGAAATTCCCTGAGGATAATTTCTATCACATTCCCACTTTAATTCTGGGCCTGCTTTCTTTGATAAATCAGATGAAACATATCCATCTAATGTCAAACTGGAATCTGTAGACCCCACAACAACATCCACCTATTGGGAGATAAAAGTTCATAAATTAACATTTAAAATTAATACACATTAATTGATGAAATTTAAGAAAAGAAAACAAAAAGATTGATTTTAGTGATACATGATTTGATGAAATGGAAAATTAATGTAATCAATGGTATTTAATGTTATTAAATTACAAAAGGATCATGGATTGATTCTTGCAAAATTCTTCA